TTTGATTAAAAGCCTTGCTACACACATCACAAGTGAATGGCTTTTCACCAGTGTGTATCCTAATGTGATCGAAAAGTGTGCCTTTCTGAGTAAAACGCATTTTACACGTGTCACACTTGTATGGCCTTTCACCAGTGTGTGTCCGCATGTGCTTGACAAGAGTGCCTTTCTCAGTAAAACGCATTTTACATACGTCACACTTGAAAGGCTTTTCACCAGTGTGTGTCCTCATGTGAGCGACAAGCGTGCATTTATGAGTAAAACACATTTTACATACGTCACACTTGAAAGGCTTTTCACCAGTGTGTATCCTCACGTGCTTGGCAAGATTGCCTTTCTCAGTAAAACTCATTGGACAGAGGTCACAGCTAAACGGTTTTTCGCCAGAGTGGTACATCTTGTGCCTTTTTAGATAACTCGCTTGTCTAAAACTTTTCTCACAAACATCGCATTTGAAGGCCCCTCCGGTGCGCCCGCGCGAGTTCGCCTGCAGAGCGCCACTGGTACTGCTTTCACTTCCGCTCCCGCTGTCGGTGTACTTCCGGCCGAGCTGCTTCTTCCGCAGCACCCGCGACACCTTCTGGTCGTCCTGCTGGTTGATCTGCACCGGCTGAGCGTCACGGGTTCCACATCGGACGTTAGAGCCGCCCTGCTTGGTTGCGTCGCTGGGAGGAGGCGCCACTTCCTCGTCGCGCTGCTCGGGCTGCGCCGCGCAGTCCCCAGGGCCGCCCCTCGACGCGTCCTCCGCGGGGCACTGCTCGTCCTGCAGCGAGAAGCACGCCGTCACCACCAGCCCCAGCTGCTCGTCCTTCTGTTTCAGCTCGTCCAGCTCGGGGCCCTCGTCGACGGACACCTCTCCAGGGTCCCCTCGGAAGGACGTTCCGCTGGAGGAGCTGCGCTCGCCGCCTGCAACAAGAGCACCGTGTCAGACACCGCCGTCGTCGTAATCTGATGTCCACCCGACTATGACCTCCAGCATGCACGTGCAACGTCAGAGTCACTACCGCGACAACGCAGCGACTTGTCCTGCAACAGAAAAACGGAATTTTAAAAAGGTCATTTACATAATCTAAAACAAAAGTATATAGACAAAGATGGCCTTTAAATTTTATAACAATTTCCAGTCTGTCCTCTTGAGGCGATGACCAAATTCAGTGTGCTCCAACACGGTTGACTCCGACGGTTCGTCCCCGGACCTAGGTCGAGGGTGGTTTGGGATAGGCTCCTGTATGAGAGAAGGGCGCCCTTCTCTCATGGCTCCTGGGATTGAAGCCATCAATGCAGTCCTGTGTGAGCAGAAAAAGCCAGGTCTGAATAAAGGAAAATGGCCCCCACTCAAAAATCGGATTAACATTTAATTTGATTCTCAGTCTCGAATTTGAAAATCATCCAAGTGCGCAACGTCAGTTAAAAGCTATAAGCCATGTAATATGCAAAATCATGATCTACACACGTAGATGTGCAAACATTGCACAACTGTTTTACCAGTGCTTTCATCTCGCAAAATTTTTCACTCGGTACCCACGGAAAGAATGAATTGGTCGTCAGAACTAAATATTAGTTAGTTTCGGGACAATCGATCAGAAAATTGTTGAGGTAACTAATAATTTGTCAGAGCCAAGTTCTAAAAGCAAAGCCACTATAAATGGGCTTCTGCAACGACGTGCTTCGTTTTAGCAACCAACTGTTGGCTCTGACAACTGAATATTCGTTACCACAGCTAATATTTATCGATCGTCCCGAAATTAACTAATTAGTAGTTCTGATGACCGATTCCTTTTTTTCCGTGCTTTTTTTTTTCATTTTCTCAGGTTTTGTTGTCTATGAAAAGAGGTTTGCTTGTGGCCTGTTAAATATTTTTTGAGGACAAATTAAAAGAGCAGAGGTAAAACGAAGATAAATTACTTTTAAAATATGTAAGTCTGTGCAAATCGAGGAATAGTTCTAAGCTGTGGAGTTTTGGCATGCTAACACACATGCAATTCGAGTCGAACAAGTATTTGGTTCCTTCGCATTTGCAGAGCAAGAAAATCTCACGACTCCAAAGTTCCCAAAAACTTTCTCGTCTCCGCAGCAAGTCATCCTCGCGCTGGGAGTTCGGGGCCAGGCCTGGCAGGGGGAGGACGTGCCCTCTTGCCGCAGCCGCACGGAGCGGCCCGGCGGGGGCCGACCCTTCGGTCCCCGCCGGGGCGCGCTGGGAGGCTGCGGTGAGGAGGAGCCCCAGCCGGGGCTGGCCAAGGACCAAAACAGTGCGAAACAAGTGCAAATAGTGCAACGTACCGCATCGTAGTGCAGTGTAGCGCATAGCAGTGAAGTGTAGTGCAGTGCAATGCAGTGTAGTGCTTGGTTCTGTGTCCCTTGGTGTAGTGTGCTGTTGCTCAATGCTTGTAGTGCTCCGTAGCCCAGTGTAGTGCTTTGTGATGGTAGTGAAAGTGCAACGATTAGAGCTACGCATAGTGCAACCCGACCCATCGTGGTGGGCCAGGAGGCCGCGCCACCCCCGAGTAGCGAGTACCAACCCGCTTGGCATTCCCTCTCGCACCACAAGAGCCCGGCGGGTGGGTCCCCCGCCACGCCCGCACTGGGCTGGACAGCCCGGAGGAATCATCTGTGCAAGTAGCTGGATCGGCGAAGGTGTGCGCCAGGCCTGGGGGCCCTACGAGTACCGAGTACCAGCGTTTGGCATTCCCTCCCGGGTAGCGTCCCCACGCCAAGCCAAGCGACGCCTGCCGCCACCGCCTCCACCCCGCTTCCCCCCGCATCCATGGCTGAGTCGAATGCTTTTATTTTACTTTTATTATTTTTCTCCACGCATGAACAGCACACCCCTCCCCCTCTCCTCCTCACACATGGCCCAGCGCCCGCCACGCAGTTCTAGGAAGCGGACCGGCTCCCCCCCCCCCTATCCAGGGCTGAGGCGGGGGAGTCTGGAGAGCGCCTCGGAATGCGTTCGCCCCCCCCCCCTCAACAACCACTTTTACTACTTCCAAAGTTTTTAGTGTCACTGCCTTTGCCCTGCTGCACTACTAATGACCTAGCGGGTACCGGCGTGGAGGGTGACCAGAGGCTAGGCCGCCTCGCCTCCCAAAGGCGACCGGGCCGGCCAATGTCCACTCATCGCGACCGGCCGCCGCGGGCTCTCTTCCAGCTCTCTTCCAGAGGCTCTGTGGAGCTCTTCTCTTACAGGTCATCGCTTCGCACCTAAACCCAGGACCTCTATGCAAGTGTGGCACCGTCACCACCACCACCACCATCAAGTTATCTGTTCCAGGTT